ACACATTGTATAGCTCGTCCAAACGCCCACTCTTCTTCATTTTTCTGGTCTCATTCTCGTCCAGCCCCCTTTTTAACGGTATTCCGAAGCCTTTTTTCACTTCGGAAACACCGACTCAGTTCTTTCGTCTTCATCGCACTTTTTTCTATCTTATTTTCCATTTTTCGTCATAATCTGTACAATTCAAAATCATTCCGAACTGTGCCTTTAAGCTGTTAAATTACCCGAGCTGTCACCGCTTCCGGTTCCTTAGACTCTGTCTACCCTTCTGCATGAGATATTTTTATCTGCTGCCTAGATTGTGTAGCTGAAGGGCGTTAAGACCACAGTACCACATCGTTTTCAAGTCTAACCGCAGATGGTGTAATAGTCCAGGAATTGCATGTCACTATGCAACGCTGACTGAATACATAAAAACGTTATTACCAAAAAGCGATATCAGTGTAGATAACAAGACAGAATGAGGGAAAAACCATCTGTTCAAAGACGAATCTTGCCACGGAGCACTCGCAAACTCTCACTATTCAGGATAGTGCATTGCCCACAAAGTGATAGCTGTAAAAACATTTTATTCGCAATTAGAATTTCATGAATGATTGTCGTGTGGCTGTGGAAGCGAATCAGAAGTTTGGGGTGAGCAGTCTACGACCATTTTCATCGTAAGAGGCGGGCTTTAAAAGTCGGGGGGAGGAGGGGTTGCACTGCTGGAGAAACTGAGTAGCCGTCCAGTTCCTGTTATCGTTACTCAATCGCTCTCTACGACTCTACGACACCAAAATGGATTGCGGGTCTGCGAGAGAATCATTGACTACCTTTACTTCATATTTAATCATGAACCAAGAGATTTTTTATATACTATTGAGGGGATGATGAAGTAGCGACTGACTCCTTATCATACATGCCTCACCCGTGGTCCCATCCCCGGATCGTCACTCGTCTAGGCCAACCAATCGTCCCATCCCTCCTTAGTTGGTACCAGAGTCGTCTGTGAGGATAAAAGTACTGACTTGTACATAGGCTGGTCATCGTAATTCATTGTATAGGCCATATAAGCATTCAAATCGCCAGTACGATCCAAGTAGGAGTCGAATCCGTATCTAAGACCTGATTGATTGAACCCGTTCCTTTTTAATCTGATATCTTCTCTGTCCATTCCAATTTCTACTTGCTAAGATAAACTCACTTGGCAGTTCTATCTTGCTCCAGGGCATCTCAGGTTTTGATCAACCGGAATGTCTATATACGGAACGGCCTTGGATAGCCACTTTATATCCTCAGAAGAAATTACATTTTAGATATCTCAAAAACGGTATTGTGATCTTTCCTCGACAGCAATTTATTTGCAATTTTTTGTAATTTGCTATTTCTCGATAATTTTGAATCTTTCACTCGTATAATAGATTCATTAGTATAATAGATTCATTAAANACGGCCTTGGATAGCCACTTTATATCCTCAGAAGAAATTACATTTTAGATATCTCAAAAACGGTATTGTGATCTTTCCTCGACAGCAATTTACCAATGGGGACGGCTTCGAGAAGCGAGGCTGCTTGACTCTTTGTACTGTGTGTGTACTCAACCGCTACTGGGACGGAATTGCGAGGGCGTGATGCGTGTTGCAGCGGTTGATCAGGGAAGAGCGCTCATGGAAATTGCTATTTCTCGATAATTTTGAATCTTTCACTCGTATAATAGATTCATTAAATAAACTGGTGATTAAGTGAGCAGTTTACTTTATTGCTTCCTGAAGAGACAGACACCATTCAGGACGTCTTGCTTCATTGACGTGGTTTTGAAAATGATGTTGCATCCGTATTGTGAGCCTCGGCGGAGATTTCGAAGCTTAAAATAAATAAAAATTATTGATGTTTTCTTATGAAAAGCCGTAACCGAATGCTAAGGGTGAGAACGTAATTCGCAACTGTTATACTTAGCAAACAGGCCCTTATCTTGTGTACGTCGCTTTCAAAACACTTGAAAATGTCACGAATGTTGCGCTGTTGTGAAGGAAGAGAATGGCACAAGAAGGGAGAGAGCTCCAATCTTCTCCCTGGCTTTAATTTGGCATTTGGCGACTGTTAGCGATAATTCTTGTGTCATACGAGGTTTTCGCTCATGACATTCGCCTACGGTGACGAAGGATTTCGCTTCTTGAGCGGCGGACCTTGGCCTCCGAAGGCGACGATTGCGTGGAAACCTCGAAACAGTTCACCTGATTAATTGAGCCACGATAAAACCTTCAATGACACAAGAACTTAATTATCAAGGGAGAGAGCCCATGTGAAACAACACCCCTACGCCAAGGCCACCAACCAAGTCGTCCAAAATGTTATTTATGTGGAACTGGTTTAAAAATATACTTCGTCCTTAGCTTGTACTCACATTTGCATCCTTCTTCTCGAAATTTTCTAGGAACGCCTTGTACACCTTCATTCCTAATGATGTACGATCATCTTTTGGGAAGGTCCTGAACCCATGATATCATGTACACAGTTCCGAAAATAAAAGAAAATGTTGCAAAAATGCAATAACGAACTTCTTTCCTTTGATCACCAGGTCGGCCTTCACACTATCCGGAGACTTCAAATATTCCAGAGCCTTTTTCTCCAGTTCATCACTCCACGCCTGGAAATTAACTTCAGAGTATACGAATTCTATTTAGCTGAACCCAATGGGGAAACTAACTATTTTTCCGCCGTAAGGGTTGAGCTCTTCAAAAGCTGCTTTCACATCTTCCAATAGAGCGTCTAAAAATGTGCCTCTTAAGAGGTTCGAGGTAATCATGGCTAGCATATTCAGAAGACACTCCAAGGTAAAATGCATGTTTGCCATTTGACAGGACTTACCGTCGGAGGCGACATTTGCGAGAAAGAAAGCTAGTACTGAAAAGGTGAGGAGCATCCTGGATGTGATGGAATTTCCTGATTCTCTGTCTATTTATGGAACTTGAAGATGTACATTTTCCCCGCGTGAGCAGCTGCTTCGGCGAAACCCGTGATGAACTAACACAGCCCTGATTACCAAAAATACTTTGCGGAATTGCTTATTTCAACGTCATCTTTTCATCCAAGATGAAGTGGCTATAAACCCAGNTGTTTGCCATTTGACAGGACTTACCGTCGGAGGCGGCATTAGCGAGAAAGAAAGCTAGTACTGAAAAGGTGAGGAGCATCCTGGATGTGATGGAATTTCCTGACTCTCTGTCTATTTATGGAACTTGAAGATGTACACTTCCTCGCCTGAGCAGCTGCTTCGGCGAAACCCGTGATGAACTAACACAGCCCTGATTACCAAAAATACTTTGCGGAAATGCTTATTTCAACGTCATCGCTTCGTCCAAGATGAACTGGTTATAAACCCAGTATGAGAAACCACGCTTATGGCAGTGCCGAAGAAACTATCAGCTCGAATGGGGCAAGATTTGTATAAGAGAAAAAAACTCGTCCCAATTTGCAGACCGATCCCGTTTGATAAAAACCCTGAAAGAAATGGTCTCCTGACATTGTCACAAGCCTGGGCCTGAATCGTAGTTTTGCTGAGTGTAACATATTGGCCGCTTTCT